CCTCCCTTAAACATTACATTATACCTTACCCTCCTACTACACTTATACAACTACACCATGTTCACAATACTCTTGATTTTTGATTAAGTGTCTTATTCAACTCTAGGATCGCCTGATGCACAAAAGAGTGTTTCAGCCTAACTTTGTTGAATCTTAGAACTCTGTACCTCCGGTTTGATGGTAATAATTCAAGGTCAGCCCCTTGAGAAGCTATATGATTCAGCTTATTATAAAAAAATCATAATTTAGAAGTAATAGGTTATTTTTTTGTCTTAATTTGATTCCCCTCATCAGAACTGTCTGTTTGATTAGGGGTGACAGATTGTAGAAGTTAATTCCCACTGATATGATTGGCTAACAACAGTTGTGTATGTTTGACAGCCTAGATGTACGCTGCTGTGATTTAGGTTAAAAACACATAAATACTTGGTACATATCAAAAGATCTATAATAACAGACAAAGCAATAATGACTAAATAAAAAAACAGTTACTCACGCTTGGGTGTTGTGACATTACTGTCTGAATCAATATAGTCGGCACAGCATCGTCTTTTAGTTTCAATCTTTCTGAAAATTCAGCGTCGAATTGTTCCTTTTTTGTAAACGAACCCGCGGTAAAATGTATTGAACAAAGGACCAAGTTCTTACTGATGCGGTCTGGAAATTCATTAAAAATAAAGTTCATCCACTCTTTCCTAATGTTGGGATCAGAAGGAAGGCAATGCAAAGACTGTGTTTTTCCACAGCTTGGCACTGCACAGTGTCTTCTTGTTGCCTTCAGAGCCACCTTTATTGTTTGGTTTCTGCATAGACCTGCTTATGCCTCTCTAGTTATTTACACCAGATGCTTGAATCGGTGGGCGGGGCTAAATAGGCAGTGATGTAGAAGCAGGTGTTGATCATCTTCTGCGGAGGCGGGGTTTAGCCACACTATTATGTCATAAAGTGGCACATTCCACAAGCTGTTGTTTTGGCAGTTTGGCTTCATTATAAGCTGTTTTTAGACTAACGAGAAAGTTTTGTGTTCAGAAACTTACAGGATGTTTTTATAGTACAACGACCTCTTGTATGTCAAAAGATCAAAGGAATTTTGATTTCTCGGTTCATGACCCCTTTAAAAAGATGACTTGTGGTTTTAGTCTGACAGAAATCAAACATTTAAAGCATGTAAAGACTTTATGACTACTTATGATTCTGAGAACAGAAAGACCTCAGAAATTCCCATCATCTCACACAAAGGAATATCGGTGGTGTTTCATTAGCTGAAAGACAGTGCCAGGGGAGAGCTGGAGTGGTTCCAGTGTGCACCTGAAAAAAAGACCCTTTAACAGGACCCCTACCATTTTGTTTATACCCCCTTTTACTGTCTCACTTTCTGTAGTTTGTGTGTGCATGTGTGTGTGATAACATGCATTTATGCTCTCATGAACCCTGTGGGAACAGCGTCTGCTCGCTGCACCTGGGGTCAGCGGAGTTTCTCCAGGTCTCTTCCTCTGTGTAGGTGGGGGCTGGAGCTTGAAGGTGAATGAGGATATAATAATGGGAAACAGAAGCTTAAACTGAGAGGTCTGTGAATAAAAAGCCCTTTCACCACCCCCCCCCCCTTAGCTTCGGCACAAGGACACCCAACCCTCCTTCCTCCCTTGCCCTGCTCTGCCTTTCATAGGAAACGGGTAATTTTCAGCCTACCGTAGTCAACTTAAACAGAATATTCATTTCATCGCCGGTATATCCGAAAGCATGTTTGCATCAAGTTACAAAGAGAGAGTCAGTATTACAGTCTGTGACATGACTGTCAAGGCATATAGGAAGAAACCCACTGAATTATGCAGTTGTTTCGGGACTCTAAGGCTATTTTCTCATTCTTTAGTGTCCCAGTACATTTCCGTTGTAGTAAACTCTGCAAGCAGAATTCATTCAAATGAATGAAACAGGGTACAGAGTGACTACAGGGTTCTCTCTCTCTCTGAAATTGAGTTACAATAAAGGGGCTTATTGTGCAAACTGGCTCATTGAATCATCTAGAAGCATCCGGATTCAGGAAGAAAGAATCTCTCATAATCCCTGTCCCTGTGATCTTATTATCTGTAGTATTCACTATGCTGCGTTAATAAAATGCCATTTTAAAAACATGGTAAAGTTCGAGGAATGTTGTATTAATTTAATTTAATTTATTGCTTACATTTTACTTTTTGCAATACATATTTTTCCATAAAATCCCTATTGAGCAAACCAAAGTAAACCTTGGCAGTTTGTTGTTACCAATAGTTTCCCATGAGAGACACACCTGTTATCTCATGTCACTTTGTTCACTTAGAGTGGGAAAAATGGCAAACATAAATAGCCATCGTGTCTTGTCTTCACATTATAATCTTCAAAATTATAATATGCCAAATATTATAAATTAGCTGGATGACCCATTGATAGAACCTTGCCTCTAACTCTGTTTTGCTAGAGTTTTTTTTTATTAGCAGTATATTCAAAAAAATTTAATGTATTTTTTTAAGATAACTGAAATGTGTCCAGCAAGTCTTTCTATGTAACTAATCAACAGTTAAATGAACAATTATTGATGGCCTGACTGATTATTCCCTCTATCTTTGCTCTGCAGTTCCCATACTGTGGTTTCCTGTTTCGTCATGAGGGCTGGCCGCTGTGTGTCCATGAGAAGGTCATAATTCAGCTCTCCTCTTTGGACTGGCGTGTGTTACGGCCCAGCGACTTCTACTTACAGGTGACGCCTTCGCCCAAAAGCCGCCCGCGTATCACGGTGAAGTGTCTGGCAGTTAGCGGGCAGCATGTGGAGGAGCTGGACGTGCCAGAGCTAGCATACACCTCTCTGTTCACCATGGATTGGCTGGACTCCATCAACCGGGGGAGGAGTGTGGTCAGACGAGCCGCCCTGGAACACTGTCTTTTATCAGCGGATAATGATATTTTTAGGGTACCCTGGGAGGATATTGTTCACCCGGAGTTTATCAGCAGACCCCCCAAAGTTACAGAACAAGCTGAAAGTAGAGGGGTGTGCAAGGAAGTTGCCAACAGAGAGGAAAGAGACTCAGACATAGATCAAGAAGACAACCCTGAGGACATACAATGTAGGATTTTTATTGACACTTCCACTGACCAATCAAGGGAGATGGACTGTCAGAGCAAGGGGGTTAAGCTCCTCCCTGCTCTCAGTGAGATCGGTAAAGATAGCAGTGGACGGAGCTCTAGCAGCACGGCAGAGGATTCAGAGGGAGAGTATGTGGAGCTAGCTGATATCTCCTTACCGCGCTTTTCCCCACAGAAGGGCTCTCTCACTCAAGCCATTAGCATGAACTACAGAAATCTACATAAACCACAGACTGCGGCTTCTACTCAGACTAAAGCCAAACCAGAGCAGAGTCTTTTGAAGAATGGCGCATGCTCACAGAGCATGGTGTGTGCCATGCTGATTGAAGAAAACCTGAGTGATACCTACCAACCTATGATCTTAACCTGCACTGCTCCTGCAGAGGCAGAGCGTCCACTCCAGCAGGTGCACGGGTCTGAGCACACCTGTGCTGCAGGTACAGCCTCCTGTGACAGTGTGTCTGAGAGTGAGTTTGTGTCTCAACACTCCGACTGTGATTCTGCTTCACTTTCTGATACGTCAACACATAACATATCACAAACAGACAGTAAACCAGTCAACACATCACAACTAGACAACGAGCCAGTCAAGTCAACACAATCAGAAGTTAAACCAGTAAACACATCTCAGCTAGACAACGAACTAGTCAGCACATCACAACCTGACAGCAAACCAGTCAGCACAGCACAACTTGTCAGTGTGCCAGTCAGGACATCACAATCAGACGTTAATCCTGAAAGCACGTCTCAACTAGATAACAATCTAGTGAGCACATCACAGCTAGACAATGAGCCAGTCAAGACGTCGCATCCAGACGCTGAACCAGTAAGCATAGGTCAGCTAGACAATAGTCTAGTCAGCACATCACAACCAGACAGCCGACCAGTCAGCATGTCACAACTAGTTAATGAGCTAGTCAAGACATCACAACCAGACGTTGAACCAGTAAGCACATCTCAACTTGACAGCAAACTAGTCAGCACATCGCAACCAGATAGCAAACCAGTCAGCACATCACTACTAGTCCGTGAGCCAGTCACAATGTCACAACCAGACCATAAACTAGTAAGCATATCTCAACTAGACAGCAAATTTGTTAGCACATTTGAACTAGACAACAAACAAGAAAGCTTATCTCAACTAGACAGCAAACCAGTCAACATATCACAACTAGACAATAAGCCAATCATGACATCCCAAACAGACATCAAAACACTAAGCTCATCTCAGCTAGACAACAATCTAGTCAACACATCACAACCAGATAACCAACTATTCCACACAGCACAACTAGGATGTGAACTGGTTAGTTTATCTTTACCAGATAGCAAACCACTCAATACATCACATTTGTACAACATGCCACTAAGTACATCACAAACAGACAACAAAACAGTTCGCATGGAGCAACCAGACAGCAAAGTAATTAGTATATCACAACCAGAAAATGAAATGTTATCTGGTACTTTAGAGAGTGAAAACTCAGAACAAGTTTCTCTGGCTAATATTGAACTTGTTGTGTTTGATCCTGCTGCAGAAGCAGAAGTCATATCTGAATCTGAGCAGGTCAGAGGTGATCATGGCCTGAAAGGCAGTTGTGATTTGCAGAATAGCAAATTGTTGGTTTCTGAGCCTTTAGCTGTCAGTGTGTCTTTACAAAAACAGACTGCGCAAACAGAGCACAGCATATGTCAGATACACAGACACATCCAAACACCATCTGAGCAAGTGCATGATCTTTCTGTCACAAAAGAAGACCATCAAGCATTTAGTAACAGTAGCCATGACAATAATGAATCTGATGGTGATTATAGTTTCAGTGCAGAGGAAGAAAGTGGGCCTGATTCGGCTGCTCCACAAAGCAAACAGGTAGCTTTGGCCTCTATCACCACGGCGCCTGAGGAGGATCTTGTTACGCTCATTTCACAGGTTCAGGTGAGGACCGAGTCCTGCGAGGACAGAAACAACAAGACTGAGGTGGAACTCCAGACAAAAGCAGCACATGCAGAAAGAGAAGTTGCGGGAAAGTCACCTTGTAAGGAGGGAGAAATGGTAGAAAAGAAAATCATTGGAATGACAGAAAGCAAAAAAGAGAATGATATAGTAGCAGTTTGTAGGGCAGAAGAAGTTGAGACTGCTCAAACAGGTCTGGTAGATTCCACACCCAAGTCTGATTCCAACGTTCAAGTTCAGGAGGAGGGCAGCTTCTCTGAAGGAACAGATGAGAAGAAACAAACCAATGTTGAAGAGAAAGGGGTGGAGGAAGAGGAGACAGAGGACATTACTGTGAGTGAGCAAGGGGCTATAGTGACCAGCTATTCTGAAAATAGAGTCCAGTCAGCATGCAATCAAGTCCTTGATGCAGACGCAGATGTGCAGAACACAAATGGACACATGCACACTCAGGACACACCTACCACTGAACGAGAAGGGCAAAAATCAAAGGAGGAGGAGGAGAGAAATGGGGGAAAGGAGGAGAGGCAAGAGGATGAGGTTACTTCCTCTGTGAAAGGCTCTCCAGCAGGGCATCAGCAACAAGCAGACATGGAGACCCATTACCATCAGCAGGAAGAGCAAGGTAGAGTCATCTTTACCAAAGAACATCCCGCTCACCTTTACATTATCCACATGCTTTTTCTCCTTAAACTCCTCCCACTTGTCCCATTCTATTTCCCCTTTTGCCTCCATCCCTGTTTCTTCGTCTGAACAGATGCATCTAAGCTTTCATCTGCTTCAGATGCATCTAAAGACTTCCTCTGCTGATGAAGAAGGACCTGCTTCTCTTTCTTCTTCATTAATTCCATTCATAACCCACTTTCACAGTTTTTTCTTCTTCCTCACATTTTATCAGTATATTTTCATTTTGATCATTATAATCCCCTTTTATTCACTTTTAGCTTGTTTAATGGAGTTTCACGCATGAATTGTGTTCTTCTTCACAAACGCCATGGTTCACAGCAGTTGTTCACTATGAGTCATTTTTTTCATAATTCATTTATAGCCATGACCACCTAGTATATTTATTCCAGATTAGCAGACTAGCTCCGGCGTTTTGAGATTCAGGCCTCTGACAAGTTACAAATGGCTCTCAAATGGCCCGTGCAATGGCGTGATAGAGCTCCTTTTCTCTTTAGGCTGAAAGAAAAGCGTTGGAGGCTCTGGTTTTACTTAGACTGGGCGCTTTACAAGGACTGACTTCATAGCAGGTCATATTCCGGCCTCTAGACAGTTTGTTTTCAAATTTGGACACCCATTAATTCCACTGAACATCGTCCAAGATAGACGCCGTTTCACATCTGAACTGCTAAAGGAAACAGCTGAAGAGAAGCCTGGGTCATGTGCAGGATTTCTGCTTTGTGTACTTTAGTAACTCAATCCTGCTTTCGTTTAGATTAAACTATTTTTAGACATTTGTTGTAGAGAGTAAAGCAGAGTGTTTTTGTGTGATCAGGAGCTGCTTGTCTGCGCATACATAATGCATTATATCTGCTTTTTATGAAGCCCTGTACACAAATTACGAGTTTGTTCCTATGACTTATTAATTTGTTCCCTCATTTTAAGTAAAGCAAGGCCACTCTGTCCTAATTAGTTCCCACAATATATTAAATAAGTAGTACAACATGGCCACGGTTTGATTAACACAAACTAACAAATTCTTAATACGTGGCCACGTCATTATTTAAAAAAAAAACATTTTAATTAGTCCTCCACATTGTGAGTTTCCGCAAAGGTTGCTGTCAGTGTCCCACCTCCTCTTCATCCAGAGGATTTGCATGCCAGGATGTGCTCACCTGGCTCAGGTGTGCTACAGGTATGAAGAAAGATACATAAGATGAGGTGAGGTGGGTGGGCCTGAACACAAACCCTGCTGCGGGACCTCTGAAATTGCAGGGGGTAAGCGGAGGGGGGTGTTTAAATGTGTGTGTTTGAGGGTTATAGATGGAGACCGGGTGGGGGGTTGCACTGCTTTGAAGACAGGAACAGCAGAAAGAAGAAATGATGGTGTGTTTGTTGTGGTAGTTTGACTATGATAGATCTGATTCTTTCTCTCTTAGTGGGTGGTTCACAAACCCTAAACATTTTTTGAGTTTTAGTACTACAGCGGTGTTTCTATGGCTGTTACCTCTATACACACAAAGAAGTAAGCTTATCTGCTATTTTTTTCTGTTTTCATTTAGTCTTTTCATCATGTATGAATTTTTCAGAGGATTTCGGCTGTAACTTTTTTAATCCACTGTTTCAAGTGTATTAGATTCACTAGAAATTGAAAAGTTAACTTCAAATATTCAGTGGAGAGTTTAGCTTGACTATTTTTAGTTCTGAAAGGAAAATTATCTTTGGACAATGCTTCTCTAAAAATCTATAAAACCTCTTGAAAAGCAGTACAGACATTGATGAGTATTCAGTCTGTGAAAGAGAGAGCTGATGAGCTGGGCAGATGGAACACACACACACGCGCACACACATTTACAAACTGACTAAAGAACTAGATAGTATGGATAAAATCCGTAAAATTTCCAAAAGTGAGCAATGTTTGATTTGTGACTGCTTGGCCAGACCATGCATTTACTAATGTGTGATTTTTACAACAGACACATATACAGTATGTACACACATTCATAGGGAGGCACGTAATTGCAGTCATTCTATTACAATAAAAATAATGAATGTGTCTGCTGTATGAAAATACATTCAGTATAAATAGCATGTTATAGAGTTGTCCCTAACGGTCTGACTATTCAGTGTCCGCAGCCACATCAGAAAGAAAAGAAAATCAGATAGAAAGGAGAAGAAATGCACAAAGAATGAAGGCTGAGGACATGGCCCATGGCCAGACTGAACTCCAGACTGTGGTGAGAGAGTGTGAAGCCAAGACCCTCTCTGCTCTGCCCTGTCTGGGGCAGCACTCGGCTCCTCGGGGGGCTCATATGGTCGACTTCCTCAATGTGAGCATTCTCTGGCGAGGAGGATGTTGGGTAGACAAGGAGACAGAGAGAAAGCAGAGAGAAAGTGGGGGTAAAACGTGTATTTTTTTTAATTAGTGTAGCTTTTTACCTAACTGAAGAAGTACATTCCATTATGTTTAGATTTCCTTTCTCAGAAGCTCACTTCAGCGGTTCCAGCTCAAATCTCTTCTGAAATATAGCAATCTCAGCCAGATTATGCTTCAGATCAATTTATACTTGTTTTCCTTGTCCTTGTACAAGCTGTTTTACGAGTCCTGGAATTCCTAGGACTTCATCTCATCTGTTTTTGATCTCAGTATCTATTTTCTGCACAGCAGCAGCAGTGCGTGGCAGCGCAGCAAAGTGAAACTTTAGTTTTATGACTGTCGGAAGCTGATCTCCAGTTATCTCTGAGCCCTATCTTGCTGTCAGGTACATGGGGCAGAGATCCAAGCTGCCCTATGGGTCGATGCACAGGATGATACATCGAATGCTTAAAATTAGCTTGTAGAGTGTGTTTGTGATTTGAGGGCCAAGCTGCATGATGGTACAGATTGGACAAATGCTCATGCTCCAATCAAACATCTCTGTTGCTGTTTGTTAATAGGGGATTATAGAGAATGTGGGTCTACTGGCTTTATAAAGAGATCTGTCATGTGAAAAGACCTCAGTGTTTTCAGATTCTGAATAGCTTTGTTTTTCATGACCCAGTGATTTAGCTTTTTTTGAAGTTTGAGCCAAATATAGTTATCAGTCAGCCATCAGTAAGCTGTGCTGTATATCTTCAGTGAGTAAGAGTCTCAGTTAAATCTATTTTTATTACTGAGCAATCAAACATTGCAGTAAAGACTAACTCACATTGATCAAATCAATGTATCTGTGGGCTTACTAAAGACTATGTACTAATGTACTATATGTACTAAAGACTATGACTGTTGTCAACATTTTAAACTGACTTGCAGTGGGTTTCTGTGTTTGCATTTTAGGTGTGTGTGTGTGTGTGTGTGTGTGTGTGCGCGCTGGTGTTGTTTGTGTTGAAATTATTTTTTTTTAATATTCCAGCATCCAGTCAGGAAGTAGACAGTATTGTTTCCCATCTGTCTGCTAAAACCCAAGGTGAAGACCCCTCAGCAGTTCCTCCACCACTGCCGCCCATCTCCCAGAAGACCCAGCCTGTCCAGAGTGAGGCTCATGACATCAATCCTGATGTCCTGAGCTCAGGAGTGCTCTGCCTGCCTGGTGAGGGTCTTCTTTAATTGCTATTAATGTGGTCTTTCCATCAATTTCATCCAAAAGCTCATCTTTTTAAAATCAATTTTAGGAACAAGAGATAAATCCGGCCACGCGCTTATGACAGTGACAACGAGAAACACTATCTGGTTGAATCCAAACTGCAATAGTGGAGAGCTGGTGCAGATCATGGTCTACTTCTTCAGTACACTCAGGTAACTAGTGCAGTTCAAAAGTTTGTGGTCAGTTATTTATTTATTTTTTAATATTTTTGAAAGAAGTCTGTTATGATCACCAAGGCTTCATATTTTTGATAAAAAATACAGTATAAGCAGTAATACTGCGAAATATTACTACAATTTAAAATACTTTTTCTAATTGAATATATATTTAAAATGTTATTTTTTTCCCGTGTTGGCAAAGCTGAATTTTCAGCAGTCTTCAGTCTCACATGATCCTGCACAAATCATTCTAATGTGCTTAAGAAACATTTCTTAATATTATCAATGTGTAAAACAGTTGTGCTGATTCATATTTTTGTAGAAACCATGATACGTTTTTTTCACAATTCTTTGATTAATAGAATGTTTTAGAATAGAATGTGAATAGAATAGAGCAGCATTTATTTGAAATAGCATTATAACATTATAAATGTTTTACCAGCACTTTTGATTGTCTTAATGCGCCCTTGCTTAATAAAAGTATTAATTTCTTTCAAAAAGCCAAGAAAATCTTACTGACCCTTAACTTTTGAACGGTGGTGTTGGTGTTTTCTCTCTCTCTAAATCAATTTATTAGACAATAGACTTTTCTAAGTCTACTTTTATCATCCTGTGCTGTTTTTGTAAATAGACTAACAAACAATTGTATATGTGATTTGATTTTATTTTTTTATTCTACCCATCCTTCATCAAAAATGTGACCTTGATTTGACAAACAGGAAGGAAGTTAGTGCTTTGGGACTGACTGTCCTGGTGGATGCCCGCAGGTGCTCTCCTGTCCCCGCCCTCTTTAAAGCCTTCAACATCCTACAGGTAAGAACACCCTGACAGTATGATTTGTGATAACGCACACATATACAGTCTACCATTCGTCCATAACCTCCAGAGAATCCTACACAGAGAGAACTGTAACATGCCGTTCACATCCTCAAGGCGTTTCCTTTCACATACTTGCTTCAAAACTAAATGGAATGCAAACTTGCCATGTATCCTGATATTTACTTTAAACAGACATCTGCTACTTAGGAATTCAGAAGATGGCTTACTAAACTAAAGCAAACATTCTAGAAGAATTTCCATCGACAAAATCAGTCATTTTTGGCTAAACAAGGCAAATAAAAGCAGCACATCATAAATATTAACTGTGATTTACCAGCTGTGGAAATAAATAGTTATAGCAAACAGAAAGAGTTACACAATAGGACATACTCACAAGAGAGTAAGAGAGCGAGGGAGATGGGTTTGGTTTTCCTTTCCTCATCTGGGATTGGTTATTTTGCAGAATATATCAACTAATGACATTAAGAACTTGGATTCTTTCTTGTCAGTAGTTAGCTACTTAGATTTAATCTCAGTGCTTAAATAAAGGTTCAACTTTTACAAGTGTAGCGTATCCTGTCAGATTTCGTTATATACATTTACTTTGGGTGTTTATGGACAGTGGATGGCTTATCTCATCTGAGTGGCCTTACACTGTAGAAGATACTCAAGTGAAATGACTGAATCACCTCACCAGTCATTTACACGAGGGATGTGAGGACACCAATAAAGAAATACTGCAGGAACATGATTCCTGAGCACATTTAATAGAAGTGACTTTAGAGTTTGTGACGTGGACCTTAATGCTGCTTTCTTCAACTGCCAGCAACCTGCCCCACTCTAAAAGATTGAGGATGTGCCAGTGCTGACTTCACCGTTTAAACTTCCTGAGTGAGATAGAGAGCGGTAAACATGAGCAATATAGAAGTACAATTGAGAATGTTTTTAATGACAGTATTGTTTTAAATAGCACTGGGCTGCTATGAGAGGTTTTTATTGTCTCTGCTCATTTGAGCTGTAGCACAGCTGCAGAAAACCCCTGTGTCCTTTCCGTCATTTATTTTTTTTCTCTCCTCTTTGATCTTCTATCTGTATCTGTAATCCATGATGGACAGCATACAAGTGCTGTCTTGTGGAAAAGGTGGCTTTACTGAATGTTTAGGAGATTCTTGATGATAAACTATGTGAACGTCACGTGTTGGAGCACCTTTCGTTGTATTCAAGGTCAGTGCAAACACTGACAGATGAGATCTGTCTGAATGAATGCAGTAGCTCTGTGACCGGTCCTCAGGGAACAGCCACGGGCTCTCCTTCTTCCTCTGATACTATCATCTTATTATACAGCAAAAACATAATTTTTTTATCATTTAATTATTTTTATAATTTAAATATATTAAACCGTTTTCTGTTTTAATACTTAATTTATTCCAGTAATGGCAAAGCTGTATGTTCAGCAGCCATTACTGCAGTCTTCAGTGTCACGTGGTCCTTCAGAAATCATTCTGATATGCTGATTTGATTATATATATTATATTAGCACCACTGTTGATCAATTGAATCTTTGCTGAATAGATGTATTTTAAAAAATGTACTTTTGAACAGCAGTGTATAAAAGGATTGATATATTTGTAGTTGTGACACATATTTGAGTTTAGTTTATCAGTCTTAATAAAAAGGTATGGTCCCACTTTATATTAGGTGGCCTTAACCACTATGTACTTGCATTTAAATTAATAATTTGATACAATGCACTTATTGTGTACATACATGTTTCTACATTGTACTTATATTTTTAAAAATACCTATATGTAGTTACATCTGTAATTAATTTCTGTTATTACATTTATAATTACACTGTTGACCCATCCCTTACATCTTAACCCACCCTTAAACCTACCCATACCACCAAACCTGTTCCTAACCTTACCCATATCCCACCTCAAAAGCAGCAAACGTGTTTTGCAATAAAATATGACCACAATAAGTACATTGCACTTATTTTTTATGTAAGTACATAGTAGTTAAGGCCACCTAATATAAAGTGTGACCAAAGTATAATCCCAAAATATTCTATTCTCTGCCAGGCTTTTGTTAACCGGAACAGTCCCCACATTTATCATTCCCTCTCTTCAGCCCCCACATGACAGAGGAAAACTGGAAACCTGATCCAAACTCACCATATATTCATTATTTTAATACACTCAAAAAGCAAAGTGAAAATGAAAACTGCTGTGCCCTGAAGAGTTTGTTGATGTTTCTGGAACATTCCTTATGTTTAAATATTCCTTATTAAATATGCTATTGTTTCATTCCAGCAAAGCTTTTCTTCCTTCTGTTCTGATGTGGCTATGATGGCATGATAATGCGTGCATGATCAGTATGCATGATGGATACAAGAAAACAGACAAAAACAGCTCTCAAATGGCATAATAGACTTCTCTGGTCTGTTTTTACAGTGTTGTTTTTCTGCTCTTTTGTTATGGGGCATATAACTGAGTTCATTCACTGACAGAAGGCTTTTATTGTATTTCTTGGGGCACATGACAGAAAATTGGCTGCTAGGTTATGTAACCTTTAAAAACTTCTGTTAAATGATGTAAATGTCTAGTTTAAAGTTGGCATTAAAGGTGACATATCATGAAAATCTAACTTTTGAAACATGATAATCAGAACCAAAACAGATGTTTTTTAGCAGATACGAGCTGTAAAGGCACAGCTCTATTCTGGAAAAGGGGGCGGGGAGCAGCAGCTAATTTGCATTTAAAGAGACAGGCCCGAAAAACAGAGTGTTTCTGTTTCCACTCAAAATAGGCATTTTCAGCATTATATAATAAATGATCTGTGGAGTATTTTGAGCTGAAACTTCACAGACACATTCTGGGGACACCAGAGACATATATTACATATTGTAAAAAAGGGGCATAATATGTCTCCTTTAAATGAAAATTCACCCCGTTTTCTAAATGTTATTGATAATATTGATCTTGCAGTTCATCCATACATATTTAAAAAAAATTTTACGTCGTAATTCTTTGTCAAAATGTCATAACTTCCGGTGAAACGACAGGCTTTTCTCTGGTGACGTACACTGAAGTCTTCCCAAACACTTTGCTTACAACAATGGACTGCAAGCTCACATTCAGATCTGCCTCCACCAGTCAACAACCGATGGATAGAATCAAATCCCCACCCTGCATTTTTTTCTTTTTCAATAATCTGTTACTCTCAGATATACATCACAATACAGAAGAAAGTCTCTTCTTCTGTTTCATTGTGAATTTAAGGAATAGTCAAATAGTACAAATGCAAGCTCCACTGTATGCATCTGTATCAATAGCAATATCTATAAATCGTATTCGATACTGCAAAGAACTGCAAAATAATTTTTTGGTGAACTCTGGTTTAGTCAGTGAAATGTGTAATTCATGGTGCTGTCTGTGATATTTAATCTATTCAATCTCTGTAGGAAGCCATGCCGGGATGCATTCATACAGTACTGCTGCTGGCCGACAGAGATCTGGCTCCACGTGTGGAGAAAACCACTTCTATACCGGTAACGCACAAATATTACCCATCATCTGTAACTTGCCATGACTTTACAGCCACAGTAACACAGTAACAAAACAATAACAGCAAAAGACAACATCTGTGTTATGTTATGTGGTGAGGGTGGTAGAATGGAAAATACAAACATAAATCCATAGTTTAGTCTATAGGAGAGGAAATGGAGTCAGTTTTGACCTTTAGGTCCTGGAGAACAATGTCAGTTTACTGAAGGGTTCTAGTTAGTGATAAAGGAAAAGAGAAAAACATCCTTTAATAAAATGTAGCTGAATGGATTTGTTCCAGAGCACAGTGACCCCTCTTATAGAAACAAACCCCATCCAACAGCACTGTCAAAAATCTGGCTTTCAGCTAGTTACTCTGCACTCTCTGAGAAATAGATGGCTATTTTAAAACACAAGTGTCTGTACTGAGACGCCGCTTGTGCCTGACACAAATCTGACTGCCAGAGATAGACTCTTGTAGCTACGTAGTGCTTCAGTTGAGAATGTCACAACAGCTGGACAGATAGTGTAGCTCAGACATCTATCTAAGCTATTAGAACGGCTATTGTGGCATCTGAAGTGTTTATGATAGCACTGCAATACATATTGGTCCAGAGCTTGTCACACTCCAAAGAGAAAGGAAAATTTGAAATCGCATCATATGACCCCTTTAATGCAGAAGCTAAACCTGAGGGTTGTTGTGTTCTTTTGGCATCTGTCAGGTGGAGTTGTTGACATCGCTCAAATCTCTCTATAAGCATGTGGACATCGCTCAACTCCCCACTGAGTTTGAAGGAACTTTCCCTTATTCACACAGCAGCTGGATCTGTTTCAGAATGGTGAGAAAATCATCATCTTCATCATTTATATCACTGAAAGCTGGAATACACTACATGTCTTTTACCCTGAATCTGCTCAGTCAGAGGATATTAAATATGTTTGATATTTTTAGCCGATTTTAGAACACATATTGTTTTCTGTATTAAATCTGTCATGTGCCTCCTAAAAAAGAGACACGTTTCTGCGAATGTTAGAAACGGCTCAGGAACGACTTGAAAATCCCTTGGTGTGTGATCCTCAGTCATTTAGTGTATTATGCCAAGTTTCTTTGTAACCATTTCAAAAAAGTTGCCAAGTGAATGATGCCTTGTGTTTTAAAATCTGTTCAGATTTTTTAAATTGTGTATTGCATTCCAGCCTTAATATGGATTAATAAAGAAATAAGCCACAAGAGGCCACGCAGCCATAATATAATAAAAGTGTTCAGTGGTTTAAATGTATTAATAATGATCACAATAAACAGTTCCTCTGCCAATTAATATTTTTATAGTTGACAGACAGCTTAAAACATTTAGATATAAATAATTTCATGTGCAGTCATATATATGCATATCTTAGATGTTGTACCATATCTGACAACTTCTGGTTATTATTATGGATTTTTTTTTTCTATTGGTTTCTTGTTACTACTCTAAACATTTCTTTCTGTTATATTTCAGAGGTTGGAACAGCTTACCAGCCATTGTGAGGATGCTGTGAACCTGCTTCAGAACACCATCAGCAAACTGGAGTCCTCAGTGCTGCCACCTACAGCAGAGGTACTGCAAGAGTCAATAAAATACTTTTCTAAAAACAGCTCAGCTGAGCAGTCTCACAGAAAATGCTTTGTCCCAGCCCTGTCCAGAATGAGAGAGCTGTGTACTGTATGTATATATCTTGGCAGACTCTTTTATCCGAAGCATCTTCTATTGAATTCAAGGTAGACATTTTTGTCAGTTCTTGCATTCCCTGGAAACCGAACTCATGGCATTGCTATGGTCTATTGTTTGAGGAATATGTATTGTGGATACTTTGTCTGTGATCCACTTAGGCCCCCAAATTCTTGATTTTAGTGATGTTTACTTAGAATGCAGCCTGAGGACTCTGTATGACTACCTGCATCAGTCAGCTTGATCGTGAACTCTACCTCAGGAGGGCATCACAGTGGCACTGAAATCTTCTATTTTGAGTCTGAGAGACTTCTATTCTGTTTCAATGAAGCACAGCAGTGGCACTGGTGTCCAGTTACGGTGATTTAAAGACTGTTCCATTTAGAAGAGATGTTTAGTTTTGAAAAATAGGTTCGGTTTGTTTGTGGTTAGGGTTAGTGTGTCAAGGCTTTGACTGAGTTGACCTCTGGCTGTCAGTGGAGGTCACAAAGGACCTTTTTATCCACAGGCTTCTGGGGAAAAATAGGGCCTCAGGAGAAATAATGATCTCCCAGAGGGGTGTTTATCTGCAGCCATCTTTAAAATCACATTCAAAGGGTTTATTTGAAGAGTAGAATGGACAGGCAGAAAGGGTCTGGTGGTTGAGGGTATGGATTTCTGCTTGACTTTGTGCTGAATGCTAAAACAGCCCCTCTTGTGGATGAAGTGATGCTTGGATGTTAAAGTTCTGAAAAGCAAGGTGTGCTCTGATTGGCCAGCTATCCAGTGCGTTGTGATTGGCTGAATACCTCAAGCGTGTGACGGAAATGTTACGCCCCTTAACACACTGTGATGCTGTCTCGCGGCACGGCGAGACAAAACCAATATTACAAACGAGGCAATTACTGATTATAATGACTTATACTGTGTTTTTACGTGTTGCGTATCGCGTCGCGTAAACATAAAACCATGTCTGCATTTGTGATCGGAGAAATGACAAACAACAAGCGCTACTCGCTCAAACTCGCGTTTGAATCATCAGTGGCAAATTTAAATATAAAAACCGTACTTACAAGCTGGGAGTCAGAAGCGCCAGACTGTCCTTGCAAAGTTGGAACTGCCCCACTTTATAGAACAGCCTTTGAGCACAGACCCATTGTATGCTACTCTGCAGGTTCAGGAAACAGACTTCCATAAAATGCGTCACACAGCATCACACACGACGGGCTTGAGTGAGCAGAGGCCGGCGGCCTTGAGAACGGCGCGGCCGGCAGATTCGATGAAGGAGCGGGCGTGCGGCAACCACATGTGACGACCCCGGGCTGTCCAGCGATCGACAGCGTGAAGTTGATGTATTTCCTCAGCGACCAGCACGGATCAGCTCTAGGCATGACGATGCGGATATCGTCCTCTTTTGGAAGGCCAAACAAAGTAGTTTCGCTTTCACAACGAAACACAGCGCCTTCACAACATAGCGCCGGTGGCAACAACAATTCTACAGCGAGAATAAAAGTTACACCTTCTTTCTTTGCATGAACATTTGGGCGGTGTCATGCAAATCTTCCCACACAGTGACGTAGACGTGTTTAAACGAGCCGTTTTAGGAGGGCGTGGACAAGTCTTGGTTGACTCTTAAATTTTATAAAGAATATCTCTTTGGATTTGAGACTTTAGTCTTTGCAGCTTTACAGATCTTTTTTATGCACCAAGAGCTTGTATCACTTCAAAGAGAAAGGAAAAATTTAAATCGCATCATATGACCCCTTTAAATGAATAGAAAGCCAAAACATGTCTCGGCCTGTCCTCTCATTTCTCGGCTGTTTCTTCTTTGTCTTCTGTCTCCCTCCATTAATCTGAACGTGTGCCCTCTTCTTTTTCATGTCTTTTCACTGCGATTCTGAGTTATTTTCTCCCTATATTTCCACATAAGCCTCACATATTAAGGCTGTGTATCACCAGCAAAGTCACGATACGGGACTGCACTGAATTTCACCTCAGCAGAATTTGTAATGTACTCATTCTAATATATAAAAAAATCATCTTTACATTGCTGGTAGGTTATCATTGCACAAATTAAAACACTTTCTACATTTAAAAAAATAAAAATACAAATTAGAAGAGTTCTAAACTAATGCGTTTAGAAACTAACTAATCTAAACTTCACTCAGACATTCTTTATAGCGCTCAGACAAACTTTTTAGCGCTGCCCTGCAATTTTATCAATAAAATAGCTTAATCGCTCAAGAGCTGCCTTACATCATTCAGAGAGCAAGCGCGTTTATCCACAGTGGAGAGAGAGCGCGTACACGTGGTTGCCAGGCTGACAAAAATAAGTAACACACTTAGCAGACATTTCCATATTGCGCAAGTGGGAAGCTCTGTTTCGGGGATTACGTCTCTTCATATAAGGCAACCCCGGTTATGTTCCCCTCTGCGGCCAGATTAAACTGTTGTAGCCTATATATTATGCTCTATTCATTATTTTTTAGAAACCTCGCACTTTTCTACTCCATTTTAAACTGTGTTCTTGTATTCAAATTAAGCGCGGTCCACTGCTGCACACGTGCCGCAATATCGATACAGGGACAGCTGTATCGATACACGTATCGTCAAATCTCTGTGACGATACATCGTCGTATCGATGTATCGAACACAGCACTACCTCACATATGTTCAGTTTTTCATCCATTTAATAGTTAAATATACAGTGTCTATGAAGAGTTTTAAAGCAGTTCTGTTGAAAAAAAAAACTGCAAATAGGCTTTAAAACAGAAACATCCACTGACATTTGGAATTTGTGTAATTGCTCTACAGTTTCATCCCACTTCACACACACATGCTAATTAGGGTGTAGATGCATGACAGTAATTGAGATTTTTAATCACTTTGAGTACTTTTTCAAATTCACTTATAACCTTAATATAACCTTTTCTTGTTAGTGCCTTATAAACTCTGCATAGTGTGGTCAGACCACCATCTGCATCATTGGGTAGGTATTATGGATGCTTTTCTGGGTGGTACACACACAAATAGGCTCATACACCCCAAAAAAGTATTACACCTCAAATACTACCCCTTTTTAGATTTTAATTAAGTTGGCATTTTGCTAATTTATGACCCTTGTTTACCATCAAGAACCACTTTCAGAGGTGGTTTCAATACTGTTGTCAGGCAATTTTCAGAAACGTAAATGTGTGCCAAGTAATTTGAACCATTTTAAACATTTTACACTTGAAAAGATTTAAAAAAAAAAGTATTAGTACTTGAGATGACCGTGTTTCAAATCATGTACACTCTTATGTACAATGTACATAAGTTCAAATGAAAGTCATAATTTTTTTTTAAAGAATTAGCTACTATTCAGCAATGATGCATTAAATTGATAAAAACTGACAGTTTAACTTGTTACAAAATATTTCTCTTTCTAATAAATACTGTTCTTTTGAACTTTCTATTCAGTTAAAGAATCCTGAAAAAAAGTATCATGGTTTCTGCAAAAAATATTAATGTGCACATCTGTTTTCAACAATGAAAATAATAAGAAATGTTTCTCAAGCAGCAAATTAGCTTATTCAAATTATTTCTGAAGTATTATGTGACACTGAAGACTGGAGCTGCTGAAAATTCAGCTTTGCTATCGCAGGAATAAATTACATTAAAAAAATGTAAAATATAAAACGGTTGTTTAAAATTATAATAATATTTTAGATTAAGACCGACACTTAACTTTTGAATGGTAATGTACACTCACACTGGGATGACTCCAATCATATCAGTGGCCTAGAAAACCTGTTTTGTTCTATGTAGAGTGGGTCACCCCTCATGGGGTTTGTTGTTCAAATCTGATGACCAGCCAACTTACGGTTATGTAATGAATTAAACATGGCTGACAAATACACCTGTGCACATTTCTACAGTGAATTCGGTAACATTTGCTCTATCATTATGCTGTATCTACACCAAAGGGGGTCAGTACATCAAGTGCAAGACGTGTTGTATTGTTAAGAATAAAATCCAGCTTTAAGTAAAATGGCAACACACACACCCGAAGGTGTGGCAGTTATGTGTATTACACATTGTACTGTAGCTTAAACTCATTTGATCATTTAATGAGCACAAACATGAGCTGGTATTAGATGAAGGAGGTGTAGATATCATTTAATGAATAATAATGCCTTTGTGCACGAGCGTGTGTACAGGTAATGTGTGCTGCTGTGGAAACCGCAGATATTACTCTCTATGTCAAGGGAGTTTGTGAGGCAGGAACATAATGATGGGGTGTGTGTTTGTGCTGGAGAAGGGACAGATATTACTCGGTGAGAACAGTAGATAAGATGTGTATATGCAATAATAAGATGTATGGGAATGTGTGCAGCTATAGAGCAGTGTCTGTGTTTTATAGTAATAAATGTGTGTGTTTGTATGTTTGCAGGAGGCACAGATCTTATTGTGTAAGTACAGAGAGTTGATGAGGACGGTTCTGGAGGACAGCAGGTTGGTGCGGCTACAGTTGGAGGGAGGAGCCGCTCTGTCCTGTTTGCGAAAAGAAGAAACCAATGTCAGTCTGACAGAGGACTACAGGTGAGACAAGATGATACAGACAACACCTTCAACCTACTGCACACATCACAAAAGTTTGGTTACTTAATTATGCCGTCTCCTAATATACCTTGTTTTGATCAAAAGCAACATGACATGTCCTTTGTAGAAAAGACAGTCCCAGAATACACTCCAGCAAGTTAACAGAAAAAAAATTATAAATAAAAGAGGAATACTTATTATACAATACCAGTCAAAAGTTTGGGGTGGGAGTCTCTTATGCTAATCAAGTCTGTATTTATTTGATCAAAAATACAGTAAAAAAAATAAAAAAAAGTAATATACAATAGTGTTACAATGTATTTATTTTTATTCCTGTGATGGCAAAGCTGAATTTTCAGCAGCCATTACTTCTGTCCTCAGTGTCACATGATCCTTCAGAAATCATTCTTACATGCTGATTTGGTGCTCATAACATTTCTTATCTATGTTGAAAACAGTTGTTCTGCTTAAAATTTTTGTGAAACCTGGGAAACAGTTTTTGATGGAGAAAAAAAAGAATAGTGTAAAGGTTTTCACAGTCTGTTTTTTATCAACTTAATGCATCCTTACAGAATAAAAGCATTATTGCAAAAATAAAGGTAGTGTACATGTAATTCAATGAATACTGAAAAGGTATTTATAAAAGGAGTGACTATAAATGACTGTTTTACAAAGTTTGTATGTTATATGCATACTCATTATGAAAGTCCTTATCATGTGTAGAAATCAGTTGTAAATTGAGTCTCCTGTGTGCTTCATGTGAGTTTCTGTCTATGTAAAACATTACAAATTAACCACCAATGAAGTTCCAGTAAGGATGCTGCCTAAATAGGCAGTAGGCAGTGAGGCAGTTCACTATGTTGTGCAATTATGAGAGACATGAGATTGTCAAACAAGAGAGGGATAATGTGAGAGAAAAGAAGTGTTGAGAGCGTGGGAGAGCATGTTCAGGCCTCTGATGATCAGGACTAGGTTCAGCTCGAGGTTGAGGGAGTATGACTGGTATTTCCCACAGCCAAGCCAAGAGAAACGTCTTTATCTGCACACAACCATTTCATACTGAAACATACACACATAATCTCAGAGCTAAACAGACACCAGCATGCGCATGTGTCTGTCACTCTGATAACATAGTGTGGTTTGGATTCAGCAGAGCTCTGGTGCTGCTTCCTGTTTGACTTTGCTTAAAACACACAGGCATGTCTGCACTGGCTTACTCAAGCACACTTTCAAAGCCTCCTGCTCAGACACATACACCCGAGCCTGGTGTTTGTGAGGGTCTTTGCTGATAAAGACCTGGTTGATTGCTCTTTGAGACTGAGGGTTTGGATTTAGGTTTCCCAAAGTCTTCATCTACTTAATAAACATGCAAGCGGCAGGAATCTAAGCCAGCCTCTCTGGTTCTGTAACCTGATTTCCATTTTGTGCCTTTCATATTATTAGATGAAATAATAGTTTAAAGGCTGCACATGTACTTCAAGTTGCTCATTTGCTGCCTAACAAATGCCAAAATGAAACATTAGCTGTCTAAACCGCTCACACACAACCGCATCACCTGGATGCTGACAGACACACAAAGGACTCAATCTCACAGGTGTGACTGAGTCTAAAGTGCTTGAAAATAGTGACCAAATCTGATCCTTTTTTCTGCGATCATGACTCCTACTTCTTCCCTCGCACATAATCCCTCTCAGTCTAGACTTTGTCTTTTTAACACTTCCTTTGGATCCTGAAGATGAACTATGACCCCTTGCTTTTTTACTGACTGGAATGATTACGCTGTTACTCACCGGTGGTCCTATAACCTGCTGATTTTTGTTTCAAATATATATAAACAGGGAATTTTATCTTGTTTATCCCTCTTTTTTCTATTCTCTATAGTCCTTGTCAGACTGTATAATATATACTAATAGTAATAAGAATAACAATCCAAAAAATTGTCACAATTAATCCCCCAAATTTTGTTGCCTAGTAATAATGATGATGATTTTACATTACATTTACATTTAATCATTTAGAAGACACTTTTATCCAAAGTGACTTACAAATAAGGAAAACAATAGAAGCAATCAGACCAACAAGAGAGCAACAGCAAGTGATGTGACAAGTCTCAGTTAGGCTAGCACAGTACACATAGCAAGGTTTTTGTTTTTTTTATAAATTAGAAAAAAATGAATTGAATAGAATAGATAAGTGCTAGTATTAATTGGTCAGGTGGATGATGATGATTTTTAGAAACTTTTAATATAATAACAATAATAATTGGCTATATTTTGATTGTTTATTGTTGACTATTATTTCTAATTATTATAACATTTCATTTAATTAAATAGTTTATAAAATAGAGACTCCAGGTATAGATATCTGTATGGTAATATATAGTAACATATTTAATCACAAATGTGTTTAATCAACAGTACTATGAATGCTTCATTGAACTGATTGATAATGAAGGCTACTGATTTTTCATCCATCCATCCTTAAGACTCTTATCTCTCTCACTCACTCTTTTGTCGTTCCCCTGCTGGAATGTCTTTGATATCTCCTGCATGCTGTGATAACCCGTGTTTGCTGTGAATAATTGGTGGGTTTTGGACTGATTCTGAGGTCAGCGATTTGCCCCTCATGCCTCTCATTGTGTGTAACACTCAGATTGTTTCCAACACTGAACTTACATCAACCGACACCCTAAAGTTCACCCCAAATTAAAATTCAATTATCATTTACTCACCCCCATGTCTTTCCAAACTTATGTAACTTTTCTTTGTCTGTGGAATTCTGATGCAGCTCTTTTCCACACACTGAAATTGAATAGGAACTAGGGCTGTCAAGCTCCAAACAAACAAACTACCATGGAGATAACTTTATTTTAAAATGCGAATATGTGTATCTAACAGCAGGGGGCACAGTTCAGTGTGACTGTGTTGTTATGCATGTGCCACATGTCTGTCTGCGTTACTAAGCCTTTTTTGCTTTGATAAGTATTTTGGCAGTTAAAATGGGAATGTGGAACTCTTCAAAAATAGTTCTCTATTCTAATATTGACATTGGGGTTATGTTTGGATCAGAGCGTGGATCACTCTTTGACTGAGTTAGTTGGCATATCATTGAGGGGAAATGTTAGAGCACAATACAGTATTGTGTAAGTGAACTACAACGGTGATGAAGTCATCCAGTAGACATCAGCCTCTGCTGCTGTGCACAGTGCTCTGCCAATGTGTATGGCAATTCACATAAACACAAAATGCATCTTTACTCATATTTCATTACAATTATGCATTTAAAGAAATACATATTTCCTCACATACTGTTTCTACGCGTATCACAGTATACAGTCAATGACTTCTAACATAGTTTCTCTCATTTATAGTCTCTTTTTCTTTTCTCATACAACACACACACACACACACTCCAGCTCTGTTCCATACTGTCTCCCATTGCCAGACTGTTCTGTAAAACCATCTTGCACATCTAATTACATTCAATCTCTAAAAGCCCTGTCCAATCAATACATTCTCTAAGGCTGTTTTAGCCAATGAGATGAGAGTTCCACAAGAATGTCTCAGCCAATGAGATGTGAGTCCTGCAGTCAGCGTTTTCTCCAAGCTCAGATGCTTGAAGTTTCTCTCAGGGATTAGAAACAAGCTCAAGACAATATGTAGACTAAATTTAATATGCTAAGGAAATCCTGTTGGTGTGTGTTTTAGAGATGCCATTGAGAATGCGGGCCGTCTGTATAACCAAGTGGACGAGTTGGTTCACAGATTGGTGATGCTGTCCAACAAATGCACACGGGAACTGGAATTCATAATGGAGTTCAAGACCCTGGAGGAGGGATTCAGAGAGGTGAAGACTGAAGTTTTGCACTTGCTATTATGAACTGTATTCATGACAGATGACAATAACAGCTGCATCTGAGACTCAGCAAATGGTACCTGTTCTTTAATGTAACCATTTCTTGTATTGGCTTTGAAAATAGATAATTTTGATTTATTTTTCGTACTTTATTATAAATATCCTCTACAAATATACACTAAATATCATACCTTGCATGATATTACAGGTTCAATGTGGATTTATAAAGACTAAGAGTGCTACTAAGTTAAAATTCAATTCTGAGACAAATGTTTTTAATTACATTTTTCTGTTACGCGGAAAGTCTCTGACTTTTGGACTCCATTTGGGCAGTTTGTGTCTTCAAGGCTTATTCTTAGCAGGGTTTTTTCTTGTGAATTTACCTGTAACACTTGAAAAATAGTGAATACTGTACTGAAGTGCTGCACACAAGCACACTGACTCACAAACTGCCTTACTAAGCTACACACTGACCTCCTGGTGATTTATTAATTTGATTGTTTTAATGGATGATTGTGCCCAGCAGGCAGAAAGAGGGGGGGGAATCCTGTTGGCATAGATATAGTGGAAGCTGCTGAAACAGATCAGACAAGCACACACACACATTCATGCACATCATGAGAAAGTGTAATCTAGCACCATAGCATCTGTATCAGATGACAGACACGTGATTGAGGTGTTTGTGTGCTTATGTTTCAGTCTATTGCCAAAGTCTACTGCCCTAGAGAACAAAGAGTATAAATATGTGTCATTCTGGGTGAAACTAACAGAGTAAAGCTGGACTGTTGCAGGAATAACTGTTTGTATGTATATGTCGTCTCTTAGGTGAGTCAGTGGATAGAAGAGGTGGGCAAGTCTCGTCTGCAGACACTGAGTGAACTGGAAGATTCCTTGGAGCAGTTACATCATAAGCAGACTGTCTTCAGAGATTTCTACACAGCTGCATATGTATGTCAACTCTTATTAAACTTGTTTTACACAGCCCTTTTTACCTCCTGCCACAGCATCTGCATGTTTGTTTTTTGCATAGCCCTCATATTTTCTCAGCAAATGCCTTATGATGCTTTTATTTGAACTGAGAGGTAATATTTTACAGCAGGTGTCAAACATTTGCTTTATAATGTAAATTTAGGCTTCAAGAACATTTGTGACTGTTTAAATGTAGTCACCTCATTCGCACCCTCTGTTTTCATACCAGTTCACTGCGTAATTCTGGGTGTGGGTGTGTGTGTGTTCAGGAGCACTGTAAGAGTGGTGAAGCTCTCCTCAAGCGCTTAGAGAAGTGGGAAGATGTCTCTTCTGCAGAGCTGCAGGTGTATGAGGTGAAAGTACGCTCATTCTGGGTCCATCTACATGATTTCTCCCAGCGAGTGGAGGAAACCAAGGATAAAATTGACAAGACTGTTCGACTCTACGAGTTCTTTGACAAGGTGAGTGGTCAGTAGTTGCTCATAATATGAACTCCCCTGCTGTTTTGCCGTTCTATTTCTATTATTTTACTACTTAGGCTCACTTCTTAAAATTTCAATTTTTTACATCAGATTATTTGTTGTTCTCCTGGTAATAAGCTTGAACACCCTATAGGGCTGTATTCTTTCTGTAATTGTATTGCAGTTTGTGCAACACAGTGAAAAGTTGTGAGACGTTTTAGAAGATTTTAGAAATGTTGTTCGTTTCAAATTTCTAAATGCTTTAGTATAGAGATAGATCACCCAAAAATAAGAATTCTGTTATGAATTACTCGCCACCATGTCATTCCAAACCTGTATGATCGGCTTTTATCTGTGGAGCTCAAAAAAATAAGTGTTTTTTTTTTTTCCTTCATACATTAAAAAGTAACTGGGGTGCAATGTTGTTTGGACCCCATTTAGTTTTGAAATATCTTCTTTTGTGTAGAAAATTAGTCATACATGTTTGGAATGACATGACGGTGAGGAGATAATGACAATATTTTCATTTTTGGGTGACCTATGCCTTTAATTATATGTACTGGATTGTTTGAGGCTTTACTAGATTGAAAAATTGGTTTGGTGGATAATGTGAGATTACTCAGTGCACCAGTACTGCTTTCTAATTACAAGGTGTGTAAATTGCTGAGAATTATTTCTTGATAATTAAATCCATAAATTTGTGATTATTCTAACCTATCCTATGTCTAACCAGTGCAGTTTAGTCCGTTTAGATTAGATGTGCATTAGCCGTTTTCCATCCTTCGATGCATGTTTGTTTGGCCAGATGTAGTTCATTATTTCACTTAAAGTTTTGCACTTCTGTTTTCTTTTGTTATATTGTTCCCTTCTTTTTTTTCATAATGTAGTTTTTTTCCCATATCGTAAGTCATATCATTGGTTGTTCTTACAGGACACATTCTTCTTTTCTAAAAAACGAGTGTGGTTTCAGTTAATTTCATTTATTTTCAAAATTTAGTTAAGTCTAAATGTAATTTCCCTATAATCAAGTAGCTCTGGCGACCCCTGGTGGGTGTCTTGACCCCCAGGTTGTGAAACCTTGTCTTATTGAACAATTTTTATCCTCTAGTGTTTAAATGTCCTCAGATGGATGTTGAAATAGTTTTTAATTTCATTTAATTAATTTATTTATTTATTTTAACAAAAACTGTTATCTTCCTATAGTCAGAAGAGATAAACATTATATTCAGAGAGACTTTTAGCAAATATAAGCCTGCCCCACCTTGCTCATCTTTTCTTGCTCATCGATAATTTGCTATCATAATTTAGGGCTAGAGATTTTAATTAGTGTTAAGTGATGGCAATGGAGGACTTTTTCATGTATGTTTTCCATCAGACTCTAGTTCCTCTAAAAATAATACAGTGTTTCTAAAGCACCAGCTATTTCAGAAATCCCTGACTGGCAGTGATGTCAGGCAAACAAACACATTCACACACACACAAACACACATGCACGATTGTCTCTGTGATCAGACCATTGTGTTTTTCCTCTGCAGTGACACTGGGTTGAACGCTTCAGTCTGACTTCAGAGTTTCCCCCTGAGCCCCAGCAGGGACAGATGGTCTTGTTGGCTGACCGCTATCAGATTTTATCATTAGCATAATCATAGTGCTCTTTCCTGACTCATCAGATCATCCATTCTTAGACCCCTTGCCCTGTTGGCATGGCGACCTCATCCAAGCCCTGTCCTGGCGTCTGTTGGCATATTGACGAAAGTTGTCAGTGTATTTATGTAATAATCAAAGGTTTTGATTGTATTTAAATTAAAAGCTGGCTTAGTTTACATATATCTGCCTGTTCCTAGATCAGTCCCTGATGGAGCACACATTTATTCTCTTTAGTCTTTTGCACTGCAGAGTCTTTGTGTCGTTGTGTTAAGATGCGCCATAACACTTGTGGATCTCACTGACGTCATCTGACTGGCTTGCATGAATGCTTATTCACACTACCTGTCTTTTCACACCCATTCCTGTGCATGACATTTTCTTGCTTTTGATTAGACTCATGAATTGAACAACACTGGTGGTTGTGTATTCATTGTATAACAGTCTACAGGTGTGTAGACAGATCATTAACAGTGCAGGGTTGTGAGTGACCACATGCTGGACTAGATTTGTCTTTGATGACAGACTGGCTCGTCACATATTTAGAAACTGACAGTTTGAGTGTCAACCGATCTGAACATGGCTGATGAGCCAGCCAGAGTGGATTGTGGTTATCAAACACAGTGGTTATGCTATGACAGCTGAGGCTGAGCGAAACCACAGGACATGAGACTCCATTCATACAACAGGACAACATGAATGAATTAATAAGGTTTCTGTGGTCGTAGAAGACCTGAAAAAGTATAGAATTGTAAAATTGTGATTTTTCATCCATGGAAAAGTAATGGAAATTTAGAAAATCTTAAAAAGTTATGGAAATATCTGTAGAAAATGGAAATCTAGTTTTGTTCTAAAATATAACACTGCTGTTCAAAAGTTTGGGGTCAGTACGATTTTTAAATGTTTCTGAAAGAAGAAAAAGACTTCATTTATTTGATTGTAAATACAGAAAAAAACAGTAATATTGTGAAATATTATTAAATTTATTACATATTATTATTATTACATATTATTTAGGGCTGGGTAAAAAATATAGATATCTCGATTTTAATCGATTCTCATTTTTACGGAACGATATCGATTCTTAAATCCCAAGAATCGATTAGTCTAGCCTTTTGTCAGTTAATGGACGGAACGTTGAAGGGCACCTCCCATCCAATATATTGCAATAAGCATTGTGCTTTGGTACTTTTAATTTGAAACAAAGTCTCAGATTTCAAATTGTGTCCATTGTATTGCGGTATTCAAACAATAAATGCCGTTTTTGTGCTGTTTAATGTGGAGTGACGGATCGCTGTAGCGCCTCAGATCAACAGACGCGGCAGCGCGAGGCGCACGTGATCAATATAACGTCTTGTAAACAATGTCACGTAACGTCACATTAACCTCAGAAAAACATATTTGGTGACCATAAACTCATTAATCATATAGAAAAATAAACTGTAGAGAGGGGCATTTTGCTAAATATATGCACCATATAGCATATTCATTATAATTTTTACTTTTCTTCAATGTTTAATTTATGTTTGAATAAATCCATCAAGTTTTTATGACAGCCACCATTTAAATGTTTATATTAAAAAAAAAAAATGAACTGAAGTAGAAATATTATTATGTAATTGTAACTTTGTTATTTTAAAAACTTCATTAAGTGTAATTGTAGCAGTTGTACTACAAATCAGTCAATTTTAACCTTCAATATTATAGTAATGTAGTACCAACTGGCTCTCGTGTATATTTTACAGCATTAGTTGAGAGATTTTGTTTTTCCTTGAGAAAATTTGGCATGTACTGTACCTGATATATATCCAAAATAATCGATATTGAATCGAATCGAATCGGTAATCGAATCGAACTGCAAGCTTGTGAATGAGAATCGAATTGTGAAATTTGTGTCAAAACCCAGCCCTAATATTATTACATTTGAAATTTCAGCAGCCATTACTCCAGTCTTTAGTGGTACATGATCTTTCAGTATAATCATTCTAATATGCTGATGTGGTGCTCAAGAAACATTTCTTATTATTTTTTATTCATGTTGAAAACAGTTGTGCTTCTTAATATTTTTTTGGAAACCATTTTATATTTTCCATGATTCTTTGGCTAATAGAAAGTTCAAATTAAATTGAAATCTTTTGTAAGATGTCTTTACTCTCACTTTTGATCTATTTAATTCATCCTTGCTGAGCAAAAGTACTTATTTCTTTAAAAATAATAATAAAAAAAAAAACTGAATGACCCCAAACTAGAAAAGCTAGAAAAGTTCTTTGTGAGTTTTAAAAAAAGTATCCTGTAGAATTGAAAGAGAATTCACTTTAGTGTGACCTAAAATGTTTCACTTCGAAATAAACAACTAAAGTGAGTCAGTGAATGTGTATTGAATGAATGAATTTACTCTGACCTTACTGGGCACTGTATGAGCTCACTGACACACATTGGGTGACAAACATAATATTGACAATCTATTGTCTGGATCAGAGTCCTGCAGGCAATCACAGCAGCCAGCAGTGCAGAAAGTGACAGCAAAGATGTGAGCATCAGCCCAGTGATAGAGCCCGAGGCACAGCAGACAGTAGAGCTCAGTGTGTGAGACCGAGTCCTTTCTACTCCAGATGGTCTGCGTGTGTAAGAGGGCAGAGTGAGGAATCACAGAGATGGTGTTTGATGGATAGATGAGGGCAAACTGACTGTATTGACCATAATGCTCATATTTGCAAGCCAGTGTGGGACTCTTTTTCTTCAGTTACCACTTGGTTATATTTTAAATTCATTAAAACCCTCCTATTAGTGTTTGAAAATGCAGGTTCAGGGTGTCACTCATCTCTATAATGATACTAGGAAACTCATTTGCTCTTTTGTACTACATGGTTTTATGCCTAAACACATACAGTCAGTCCTTGCAAGTCAAAGGAAATGGCACCTCCATCATGTCAATACGACAGTACAACTGAATTAACGCACTACAGGCCTCTGCTCAGAGAGGATGAGCATATTAATGTAAATGGATGAATCTCACAAAGACATGTCTAAGTAAATTTGAACCAAAAATGAAAAGAAAGGAAAAATTTTTGATTTGTGATGTTATTTCATGACAATTCAGGACATTTTCCCTCCAATTTTTAATGCATCCAAATGCATGTTTTTCCTGTAAAAAAATCATTTTAATAGTTTTAGTTAACAATAACAACTCTGAAAACAACAATGATTCTCAGTACTGTAATAGTTCATTAATATTTTTTAGTGAATTACAGAAAACTTTTTAATTGTATTCAGAACAAGCTATTTCAGCAAATACTAATATGATGTATACATACCATTCATATTTCACATGATAGTGTTTCTAAAATAGGCTTCAT